GTTTATGTGTATCCAGTCAACAAGAATAACAAATCAGCACGACTCTATTATGATCATTTAATCAACAAGAATGATAATGAGATTTTAAATGACGTTTTTGATCTAATATCAGTCTCTGATTGTAAGCATATAATAGTCGAAACTTATAAACAAAATGAAAATTTTCCTTGTGATTTCAGTAAGTATTTTATGCTATTTTAATAAATATTTAACTAATCGTTATAATTTATTTTACAACTTGATATTGTTTTAAAGAACTTATAGATATCGTGACAAAAAAATTACATGGTTTAGTTGAAGGCATACATACAAACAATTAATTTTCTCGAAAATGGAGATGTAGCCTTTATTAGAGGAGAATTGCTCCATATTTATTCAAAGTCCAAAATTCAAGACGAAATCAGATGGACTTGCAAGTATAAGATTGAACTTTCACCATTTATAAAATGTTTTATTTTTCCAAAAGGAAAGTTATTATTAGTTACTAATATGCCCTTCATGATAACACAATTCGATCTGAAAACATCAGCAATTGAAGCACAGTATTTGTTAAACTGGGACATATACGATAGAAACTCGGATATATATTTAGAATTAAACAATAACAATACACTGTTGGCAATGGATGATATGTATATAATTAAAATGTTTTCAACTGAAAATGGCATGATTATCGTAGAAGGTAATATTTGCTTATTATGTTGGTAGTCACAACTTTTATTTACGTATCTTTTTTTTAAAAAATATTAGATAATGAATGTTCATTTTATGAACATAAATATTTCATTACTTCAGAAGAAGGAGAGTGTTTAATACTACAAAAAGGAGAAAGCTTCTTTATAACTGACCCATGTAGACTTGATAATAAAGTGAATGCAGATAAACTTTTTCGACTTGATGATACTGATCCAAACAAAAGAATACTATATCCTTGTATAGTTCACTCTGATCATGTTATAGGCGTTTGTAATGGATATTTCTGGATCAAAAAGTTATTTTACGAAAAATGGAAAGAATATTCATGCAAGGAACTTACTGAATGTTATAAAGTTAATA